GAAAATTATTGAAAAAATTAACAAGAAAGGTTTTTTCATTTTTCTTCTATTTTCGTTTTTTCTCTTTTTATTTTTGTATTTACTGATGCGAAACATTATATAACATAAAATTTTCTTTAAAAAGCAAGTCAGAGACAAAGAATGATGACTGTATATAATGTTCAAAATCATCCATCATCATCTTTGAAATGGATGGATGAAATGCTCTATAATATTGTTAATGTGTGCTCCGAAAAGTTTCTGCAGTGGATTTCGAAGACTTGGTAGTAAATATGAGTTTAGGACAAGCTATAAATCATAAGGTTAAACGAAATTGCAAGCAACGCGTAACAAGTGGGATTTTTTTTTTTTTTTTTTTTTGCAAATCGAACTTTAAAAATTTTTAATATCATTCGTATTGAAGATTATATCGAATGCTTTAAAATAGTGTTTAAACAGTTAGTAATCGCATAATAATAATGAAATTTACGGTCGTGTACTCTACTCGAATATTTTCCTTAAGCCGATGAAGTAGTAATTGGATAAATGAACAGATAAGTGCTGGCCTTGGACATCCTATTACCGCAACTAGAAGAAGAAATTTCCAATTTCATAATTTGTCATGAATTTGTTAAGAAAAACAATTCTGTGGATATTACGGAAACGTTATGATTTTCGTCAAACTCTTCTTAATTTCCTTTGCATATTAACTCTCCTTAGAGAGTTCATTGGGATGGTTTAGTTGTAGTTTACGTAAACAGTTATATTAATATTTAAAAGATAAACAAGCGAAAATTTAAAACCTCATCGCCTTATTGCAGTTATAAAATCTACCGTTAAATAAGCTCTTAAAATTTTTAAGTAAGCATACGCAGGGGTGCACCAAATCAACAAGAAAAATAAAAGATTCATAAAAGTTCATAATCTATAACGGGGTATGAAAAATTCAAACATCCTGACATAGTGAAACGTAGTTAACACGCCTACGTGTTTATTTTTATATGCAATTTGAAATTCGGTTTTCCGTACGAAGATTGCTTTTTACCCAAAACCATTAAGAATTCGACGCTTAGTGATAAAGTTGACGTTATTTTCGGCGATAATGCTACAAATTTTGTTCTTTTTTTATTTTTATTATTTTTATTAATAATATAATGTTTGTGTGTGTGTGTGTGTGTGCGTGTTCGTACGACTAGATTTCTAGCTTTTTTTATTTCTATAAAAAAAACCATACAGACTATTAACACATGACATGAAAAGAAACTATATATGTGTGTATATATTTATCATAATCTAACGGTAAAAAGGTGTGTATGCTTTTGTACTTAATAGCATACCTTATGGCATTGTATTATGGGTGCTTTATAGGGTATACTTTTCAGCTTAAGTTTTGTTTATCTTTTAGCTTTCGACTATCGAAAAATGTGTTTACTGTTGAGATGATGGAAAACATAATGACGCTGTCAGTTTTATGGGATCGTACCTTTTTAACTTTTCTTATTTCTTTTTTTTTTTTTTTGGTAATTTCAATAGTTGTTTGACGTAGACTTTTTGTGTAAGAAGAAAAATGAGATCATCTAAATGGAAACGATTTTAAACGAAAAATGAATAAATTTTATAAAGAATAGTGTATATTAAAAGCATAAATTTAACCGCACGACGCAAATAAAATAATAAAATACGAATTGTTTACACGTCTTCTCTTCCTTCTTAAAAGAAAAATGAAGATGAGGACAATTTTTCCTTTTTAAAATACCTTTTTGTTGCTTTACAAATATACGCTTTATCGACCAATTATCCATAGTGTGTTTAAAAGATAAAAATTTTCAGATTATTTAGATCAATTCTTGATGAAATATCATAACTCATAACAGCCCCTCTTTCTGTCTAAACATTCAAAAACAAACTATGTAAGAGCGGCTCTTTAATATACTGGTATGAGGATTGATTTACACATTTACCTCTGTTCGTACCGCATATATCGCATTGCCTGTTTTTGACGTTTTGCTCTCAAATCAATTCTTTCTTTTCTAATCTATTATATTATCTTTCTGTAACTCTTTTTCTTTTCCTGATCTTTTCTTATCGTTTAATAAGACAATTTAAAAAAAAACCATCTCTCATCATCACACTTCGATAGGTTTATAACTCAAATTGGTGGTAAGAAGTTTGCAGATGAATTCAATTCAATTGTAGCCGCATTGTGATCGTAAATGAAAGTTAAAAGGCAAAAATAGCATTTTCCGAAAATTTTCAAATCGTCCTAAATGCGAAAGTGTTTATCCTCATTTAAATTAAAAATTTGAAACTGTCCTACCCGGCAATATTTTCGCTGAAGGCTAATTCAAATTAGAATAACTATTGGCACTTTTGGTCAGAAGAAATGAATATATGATATAGAAATAGTGCTACCCATCCCAAGTGGCAGGAAAGCCAAAGCCGAGCATCTTTAACAATTTAAACTTTTCATTATAGTAAATTGCCTGAAAAATCAATGAAAACGGGCTTTTTTCGGCATCTTTGTCAAATTAAAGTTGCTAAGGGGTAGCTTAACCCTCGTCATTTCCAGTTCCTATGTAAATGGTTATCTTATGGTGTGCATTTATCCAAGAACGTTTAATATTACAATTGAACTGATTTTCTCGTCTTGTGTCATGCTTACAATATAAGCCAAAGCAATTATTAATGCATTCAATGTTAAAGTTGCTCTCCCCTAAAGCAGTAGTTTTCCTAACGACTCTTGGTTGCGGTTTCTCGTGTAGTAATGTTTAAATCGAGATAACGATGATTAATTATAATAATAATACTTGTTACTGTCGTTAATTGAAATGTGCGGCTTACATGCAGTCACATGAATTACGTTGTGCCTTCTTATTTGTGCGCTTAAGATTAAAAAAAAGAAAAATACCGAAAATGAATTATTTTTGCTTCTTTAATTTATTACCAAACCCATCTGCGAAACACATTTCGGAAAGTTGTTGTGTTTTTATGCTTAATCTTCGTGTTTAGATTAATTTAAGTAAAACATTTTTTGAAGGCTTGACTTACGTTTTTAGGCATCATGTGTTTGCCTAGTGATGAATAAACGATATCGTTAAAAATAGAAAACGTTAAGAAAGAGAAAACAAAAAACATAAATATATAGAAATTATGTAAGAGCAGTAGGTATGATTACTTTTAAGAACTAGCTCGCGTGCAGCGTGTTATGGCGCACTTATTACAAGATATTAAAGTTTACATGCCGTTAAAATGACCAAAAAACAAAAAAAAAAACAAATTTTCATCTTTTCGTCCATAGAGTTGACTTTGGTCGCGGCTACAGCGAGCGGTCAGTCGGTAAGAGCGTAACATTCATCAATTGGGCACACATTCACTAAGTTTCGGCCACTACCTATCTTCTTAGTTCTTTCTTTCTCTCTCTTTCTCCTTAAATATTAAGCATACATAAAAAGAAACAGGACGCTGATGGTCCGCCGTTCTGCTCGGCAGCATGTGAAAATGGATTGCTACTTATAGCTTCATCTCCACTCTTGACATGTCATTATTATTTAAACTTATAGAGTATTGCGGTCTCGCGAGCCATACCTCATGACTTCTTCTAGAAGCTTTGTTTTTATAAGATCCAGTCAATCTGCGTATAACTACGACCTACGCAGCATACCTAGAGTTCTTTCATCTTAATATTGGACGCTTTAAACGCTATTAAAACAAGTTTTCTAAATACACATACGTTGTCTATGTCATACTTAAATTAACCTTTAATGTTGAATGCTGCATATGACTGACTGACTCTGCATATTTGCTTCGGTTTATTGGTAACCTCCTCGGAGAACGCCTCTGTGCTAGGCGCGTATATTTTGGCTTATTATGGATGGATTTTGCTTTTAGGTTGCCTTTTCGCCTACGAGTATAAACTTTAAAAAAGTCCAACCAAAACTCTTTTGGCTTGAGACTGATCTTAAAGAATTTGTTATTACTCGATTCGGCTGTTATTGCATTCCAGCTGAACTCGAATATCTGAACATGAATAAACAAATAGATTATGTTTCTCGCATTTATTTCCAGACTTGTTACTCACACAAGCATATCTGTTTACTACCGCGTAGCGGTGCATGAATGTTTGTTTTGCATGTGAGGGCAACGATAATTAATGATGCAACATAGTATGACAGTATGTGGCTGTTTTATATCTTGTCTTCTCTTTGCCATCCAATATTTACAAATATTTAAAACATCTTTTGTTTTTTTTTATATGCAATGCATGCTTCGTTTTTGCTTAATGGCTCAAGGATGTTTTCGTTGCTGTTCTAAATCAGTGACAGTTGCTTTTTATTAACATTAACAATAAATTAAAAACAACCTAGAGAGAAAAGGAACAAGGGCATTCACGAGAAATTGTAGCGCAGTTTTTTTTTGTGTGTTCTCATCTTCATTAGGTTTTACGGCCAAGCTGGAAATGCGATCAGAAGATAATTTCAATGCTCAGAGATCAGATCGTGGTGTCTTTTCTTATTCCCAAAGTCGAATCGTGTCATTTATCATATATTGTAGTAATTTCTATAAGAATTTGTAAAAAGAAAAGTTCCGTAATCTTATAACATTCCAACTTCTCACTTAGTTTTGTCCCGAGTGCAATTTTACTTCATCATCGGCCTCACTAGTCTTGCTAAAAATGATAGCCCTTCGAATAGAGTTTCGAAGCGGACATGGTACAAGGCGAGAATGGTGTGATGGATATGGATGGACGTAGCTGCACCTATTACGAAGATATGCAAAACTTTATATATGTCAGGATGTAAAAATTCTTTACGGTTTGCCAAATATATCCGTTTTCGACGTTTTTCTCTTTAATTGGATCACTTATTAGCAATTTCTTTGTCGCCTAGGATTTGGTTGATTCCATTGAGCTTTAAGTAATATTCGGAATGACTGCCAAACTTTGTTTTATTTAATTTTATAAAACTGTGCAATTCCTGCCAAGTCTCTCTGTAATTAATTACATGTCTCTTTCTTCATTGCAGGATTACAACAGCTTGATGAAAATTTCGGTAAGTCGGTTGTAATTATTGGAATATAAATATTTCCATTTCTTCTTATGATCCTCTTTAAGACTTTTTCACAATTTAATTTAATCCTCTGTGTTTTGAATATGTTCATCTCAACAATTTAATAGCAAGCAAATATAATAAAAATGAATGAAACAAACCTTTTTTTGTCTGTTAATGCCATCCTACACAAGGATGGATTATTTCAATGATTTTTTGGTCAGCTGAAAGGAATGTTGTTATGCTTTTTTTACAGGCTTTTGATCCTTACAATTAAGCAAAAAAAGAATGGCCTTGAAATTTCATGGGAAGTTGGGAAGGCACTCACCCGAAATCTCTCATTCCAGCTGTAAATTCTCAATTATTCCACTTTTGTATCTTACTGGCAAAAGAACATTACCAAGTGCACAGACAGATAAGGCTTTTCGTTCGGTAGATCGTCGATTGTGATTAAAGTAAAACATTCTAGAAGCATGCGTTGATCAACGATTAAATGGCAGACTTGGATAATTTCACAGCAAAAGAAACAGTCAAACGGGAATTTCTAATTGTTGTTGAAATTGTAAAACTAAAAATGTTTTGATAGCTCGGCAATTATTGATTACGAGTTTGTCTAAGAGAAGGGATTCCATTTAAATCATCCACTAAGGCTTCAACAGCAAATTCTAATAAAAAATAATTTTTTATTGCTCGTCGGTTATCGATTGTATTCACTTTTCATTTTGTTGGAAATTCCTAAAAACCCAAATGAATGTAGGTCTTAACAGACATCTTTCTCTTAAAGAGATCTTCGTAACCCAAAAAAAAAAAAGCCAGCGAAATAGTTTTCTTTTAAAGTAAACCAATTAACTAAATTAACATTTATATTAAAGAAAACACATGCATTTTTTATCTGCAGTAAAATATTTCACACCTTTCGCAAAAATATCGCGCGTAATATACGTTTTTATAGAGAAATGGTGCAAAAAGTAAAAATAAAAAACAAAAAAAAAGAAACTGTTTTACAACCTCCTTTTGTAGCTATTTAAGGATACTAATTAGTAACAGTGTTCGTTGTCTGTTGTCATGAGTTTGAGGTCGTCGCATTATTTCCGCCAACCATAATGACGACATTTTTGGTTCACTGAACCACACTGAGCACACTGAGTGATTTACGCGTGGTAAAGCAGCGGGCAAAGAAAAAAAGAAACTTATGTATACACACATATATATGTATATGTATGCAGGACGGTGAAGAAATGGACGAACAAATGAGAATTCCTTTATCTGCTGTTTAAAACGAATTTCTATTACTCAACTTTCAATTAAATTTTGAAAACTATTTTACCGCTTACACCACAAGTTGCCAATGCTTTTTGCTGTGCTGAGATTGCAAAAGAAAATGCAATAATACGACAGTGGACTTTGCATTAAGAAAAAGAATGAAAGTCATCTTCGACTTTGACTTTCACTTACTATTGTTGGTGGATATTCCCCAATTGTACACTTATATGGTGAAAACAGCCATTTTACATAGTCATCATAATAATAGTTTCGACAATATATTCAGCCTGCATGACTTCATTCCTAAATCGTCACTTTTCGCTTGACTTTTTACCGCCTCCTCCACTCTGGAGGCCTTGATGAACTTGGAAAGAAGAAGAAGAAGAAGAAGAAAAAAAGCGGAAACTCTGACGAAAAGATGGACAAATGAATACCTTTGTGATGTTACATTCATCAGATTTTTACAGGCTTCATGAACTATTTCATGCGTATATCTCTTTTACGTCTCTCTTGAATGACAAAATTAATATGTTTTAATCCTCAGACCTCCATTTTGTGTTAGTATATAATATGATATGCTTTATGTACCCTCTGGGCGTTAAAGGTGTTAGAAAACGTCATTAAATTCCCAAGTATAATAAAAAGAGGTTGGGGAAGTAAAGGTATGCGTCGTCTTGGAGCAACGATTGTTATATATTGCTATCATTGTTTTTACTTAAAGGAAACCAAGATAAAGTTTATTAACTAACTTAAGCTGACGGGTTATTTGTTAAAAGACCTTTCTGCCATAGTGTGGAGGAGGGCGGAGCTAAAGCTTTGATTTGTAAAATACCTCGGGCTCTTAAAATGAAATACAAGATACATTTTTTCTTCAAACGCGAAATTGTTACGAACTCTGCAATAGAATATAAAAACTTGCTCACAAAGAATATCCGTTGTTGGCTGCTAAAATATTTAGTAGAATTTCTCTTTAAAATCTTTTATTAAATGTGTTGGATGTTGTGATATTTTTTTTTTCTCTTCCTTTTTTTTTTTTTTTCTTTTTCTTTCTTTCCAATTTATCTAACTTTAACGTTTTTATAAAAACAGTAACATAATTTAATTAACTGTGTGTCGGTAGAGAGCCATTAATTACATTACAATAACGTTAATTAGGGAATAGCAATTTTTTAGATCTTTTTTGCCTAAGCGTGTTCATTGGCGTTCATTGCTTATTCTTACATCAGGTATAAATTATTAATTTACGCACCTGTTAATTAATTATAAAGATTTATTACAACGATATTTAATTGATTTATAGGGCCTGAAATAAATCAACTATTTATAATTGTAATATGTTTGAGTTTTGTGACTTTTTCGAATTCGGATTGCGTCGCGACGCCCATGCATGAGTTACCATTCATTTTCAACTTTAGAGCAATCATTTCGCATCCATTTGCCACTACAAAATGTGCACCGAGGTAGAAATGAAATTTGGGAAAAAATTTCAATTTAAATTTTCTCTTTTAAACAATTGGCTTGCGAGTCACAGCTGAGATTAGAAGAATGCCAAATATATCTGCGTTATGACAAGTGCATTACAATTTCGATGTTGGGTATAAACAAAGAATTTTTTAAAAATCAACCAATCGTTCGATATATTATATAGGGGTGGATTAAAACGAATGAAAGTTTCCCTATGAACCCAATTATGGCTTGACTTGAATGTTTACAAGGAAGATGCAACATCAAGGAAACAGTTATATGGACTGGCTGATTAACGTTTCGAAATCGATTTAAAGCTGTACACAAATCAAGTGTTTACACGCTTGATGCGAGAATTGTAACGTGAAATACTATTTTGCGTCAAATTAAAGTGCTTGCATTTGTTCTACTGCCGCTGGCAGTTGGTGTAAAAATGACAAAATAAATTTTCAATTCGTTGTAGAAAACAAAACTAGTTGTTAGCTATTCTTGTATGCATAAATGTTCATAGATGAAAACACAGATAACATCTAAAATAACACCATACACTATGTACATACTGGCAAGGCAAGTTTGTAAACACAGAGTTTTTGAAATGCATTTATATCGTTCACAGTAACGAACCATTTTTTTTTTTTTTTTTTTTTTTTTTATTTTGTTAACAATTTATCAACTGATGGTATAATAACCGCTAGCATTTTCAGCCAAATAAACGAATTTTTACTTCTCTCTCTCTCTCTCTATCTCTCTCTCTCTCTTTCGCTATAAATCTCATTTAGATAACAAAATCAAATGAAATTCTTCGACAAAATGCAATTTTTTTATAAACCATGAGTTGTGTGTGAAAATTTAAAAATAATAACATTTATTATGCTCTGGCGTTTACTTAACTGGCTACAGTTATCCTTGCATGCTAATGGTTATGGGAATGTGCATACATGTCGAATGTTATAGGTTACTACGCGCTTCACATCGATTCCATGCAGTTATTCGTAATATTTAGGTTACAAAAACCATTTTCAATCGAGAAGGCCCAAGCAACCTAAAATGAATCGTTCATCATTAATACTTAAAAGGAAAACAATCTTTGCAGTCATCGTATTTCGATTAAGCCGTAAACCTGTTAAAGTCTATCGTATACTTTCTTAGGCAGAATTTCTTAATTATTACTTTCAGAAAAAATTGTAACTTTTAATTTCCCGTAACACATTTCTATGGTTACTAAAGCTTCTTGTTGAAGTTATTCAAAGAAATAAAAATTTCATTTCTCGTTTCTTATTGTTAACAAGTATTTCTTTTTGGCTTTGTTTGAAGTTTTTTAAGCGATTTACTGCTTTTCTCTAATGAAGAGAACGCGCAGTGATTATGCTTGAGGTGTTGTTTCATATCTTATCGTATTATCGTAATGTGGAAAAGCAATGGAGAAGTTATATTATTATGCTAAAAGCTCATAACCCAAACAATGATATCCGTTGCGGCTGTGCAGGGTTTCGCTATTTTCTCTCGCTTGTCTGTGGATACAAAAGCGCCAACATGTTATCTATGGTAGAAAGGGAAATGCTTGAATTTTGTGCCGAATTTTTATATTTCAGAACTTCTTGAGAAATTATCAAAAAAAAAAAAAAAAAACACATGTGAAGCTCAAAAGGACGTAATTGTTTAACACTCTAATCAACTTACAATTATCTTCTGAGTCTACTTAAACTTGCCTGTACGTATGTCTATCCGCCTGTCTGATATCTGCCACCACATATTTGTGACCAGCAAACAGTTTTGGACACATTGGGAAGAAATATTACGCTGACACGTTTTTGTGTCTCAGGACAGAAACCTATTGAGAATTGCTTCGGATCGGATTAGATTAATGTATAATGTCGCTTAGTGATTGTGCTTCGTGTATACTAAATTAGTGCAGTCGTTCGCATCGGACGGATCAGTTTTTTGAACGCACTCCTACATACGCTTCGCTAAGAAAAATAACCCTCTTATTGGCAGAACGTTCAACGAAACGAAGCCATTTATTCAAACAATTAGTTCCTCCTTGAAATTTTAACAAATCTAAACCTACCACGCCTTGCGCTACCAATCGAAAGAAATCGAGGGCAGAAGCCGCTAGATGTTGCGTGCGGATCCTATTTCTACGTTCTGACGATAGACAATAAAAGTCCGATATTACGGACTGTTGTGATACTTAACTTTCATTAGTTTGTGTCTCTTGCGTAATTCGAGCCCCTTTTCGAGCAATTCGCAGTTCAAATTGAACAGCTCTCGTCGAT